AAACTGCCTTAGTGACTGAGACTACTCCAGCTCACAAAGCAAATCTGTTAGATAAGATAGACAGAGACTTCCAGGTCCTGGACAGGCAGGGCCTGCACTACGCCCCTCATAAGCAGGAAGCAGCAACAGAAGGTGGATGACTCTATGCCCTGCAACATCCCTTAGGATTAAGGGAATGGAGCCTCTGAGAGGGGAATGATGTAGGCAGACATACAGGATAGCATTGATCAGGTATGTGAGCTGGAAGACCATGCCTTCACCATGCCCCTGTATGACCACATGCCCCTACCTGGCCACACCTGTGTGTCTACTGGCCCATCAAGTTAATTAACCACTACCCTTTGGAAGTGGATTAAAGACCTGGGACAATCTGGCACAGTGCTTTTCATTTTTGGCCTTTTGCCAGTGTGGGACTGTGCTGCTCTGCGCCTCCAAAGGCGCGTGGCCTTTGGGCCACCCAACTCATGCTTCCTGGCCTGCATGGTCCTCCACGTGGCTGGCTCCTGGTACTTGGTATGTACACAGATTTCCCTCTCTCATATAGATAGGGCACTCACTCTCCTATGCATTTCTCCCACTGAATAAAAGCGTAAAAACTTAAAAAAAATAAATTGCCTCTTAAAGCAAATCTATAACAATACATTATGAGAGGTTTATAATACATAAAGAATTAAAATGAATGACAACCACAGCACAAGGATGGGAGAGAGAAAACAGAAGTATACTTAAAATTCTAACACAAGGGGCCAGCACTATGGTGCAGTAGGTAAAGCCACCACCTGTGCTGCCAGCATCCCATGTGGGCATCAGTTCAAGTATCAGCTGCTCCACTTCTGATTTAGCTCCTTGTTAATGCAGCTGCAGAGGAAGATGGCCCAAGTACTTGGGCTCCTGCACCCACATGGGAGAAGCTCCTGGCTCCTGGCTTTGGATCAGCCCAGCTCTGGCCATTGTAGCCATTTGGAGAGTCAATCAGCAAATGGAAGATCTCTCTCTGTCTCTGTTTTTCTCTGTCTCTCTGTCTCTCTCTTTCTCTGTAACTCTTGCCTTTCAAATAAATAAATAAATCTTTAAAAAAAATTCTAGCACAACACATGAAGTAGTATATTATTATGAAGGTAGGCTATTATAAATTATAAATACTATAAAAGCTCTAAAGCTGGATTCTGAACCAAGAGCAATTTTGCCACCACTACCAATTCTACCTCCTTCCACCCCTGGGATATGTGGCAGTCCCCAGTGTTTTGATGGTCACACACAGGGTATGCTACTGGCATAGTGCGTAAAGCAGGGGATGCTGCTAAACATCCCACAACCCGCAGGTCAGCCCTTGGATCTTTTCTGATCTGAAATGCCAATAATGAGGAGGTTGAAAACCCTACTCTAGAGTAACTATTCAAAACAACAAAACAAACAAAAAATCAAGGGAGCAGGCATTGTGGTGCAACAGGTTAAGCCGCTTCTTGTCATCAGAGTACCTGGGATAGAGTCCCACTTCCACTTCTACCCAGCTTCCAGCTAAGGCCTACGAGGCAGCAGATGATGGCTCAGGTGCTTGGGTCCCTGATCCTAACATGGGAAACCTGGATAGTGTTTAGGGCTCCTGGATTCAGTTTGGTGCAGCCCCAGCTATTGCAGGCATTTGAGAAGTAAACCAGGGGGTGGAAGACCTCTCTCTCTCTCTCCATACCTTTCAAATAAATAAGAACTACAAGTTACAAGGCAGTGGAGGCTATAAAGTGAAATCTTAAAAAAATAGAAAAAACTGAATAAAGCCAAAAGATTGGAAAAGAGAAGAAAAGGGGGCTAGTGTCATGGTGTAGTACGTACGTAAAGCCACAGACTGTGAGGCTGACATCCAATATGGCTGTCGGTTCGAGCCCCAGCTGCTGCATTTCTGATCCAGCTCCCTGATAACATGCCTGGAAAAGCAGCAGAAAATGAGCCTTGGGCCCTCCCATGTGGGAGACCCAAAAGAAGCTCCTGGCTCCTGGCTTCAGAACAGCCCAGCTCCAGCCATTGCAGCCATCTGGGGAGTGAACCAGTGGAAGAAAGATCTCTCTCTCTCTCTCTTTGTCTCTTCCTCTATAAACTCTGCCTTTCAAATAAATAAATCTTCTAAAAGAGAGAGAGACAGAGAGAGAAGTGAAGGAACAAAGAACAGATGAAACAAACCAAAACAACTGTCCAAATGGTATCCTTGGGGTGGGCATTTGACCTAATGACTAAGATGCCAGCTAAGACATTCATCTCCCTATCAGAGCACCTGGATTCAATACTCAGCTCCACTCCTGACTCCAGCTTCCTGATAGTCCAGACCCCAGGAGGTGGTGATGACGGAAGTAACTGGGTTCCTGCTCCCAGCTTCAGCCTCAGTCCAGGTTGGTGCAAGCATTTGGGGAGTGAACCAATGGACAGGTTATCTCTCCCTCTTTTAAAAGTCAGAAATGATCAAAGTGGATAAAAAAGCAAGACATAATAATGGATATTTATTAGAGATGCATTTTAAATACAAAGCACAAACAGGTTAAAAGTAAAAGAATATTTAAAAAAAGAAAGAAACTTGAAATAGCCACATGAATATCAGAAAATGCACACATTGAAACACTAATGGTAGCATCAAGAGTTATCAGAGATAAATACAGACATTTCCTAATGAAAGGAGGTCAATTTGTCAGAATAAAACCATACTAAATATGTATATATCTAATAACAGAATTCAAAATACACAAAATCGGGGCCAGAGCTGTGGCACAGCAGGTTAAAGCCCTGGCCTGAAACACTAGCATCCCATATAGGCACCAGTTCAAGTTCCGGATGCTCCACTTCCTATCCAACTCTCTGCTATGGCCTGGGAAAACAGTAGAAGATGGCCCAAGTGCTTGGGCCCCTGCACCTGCATGGGAGACCCAGAGGAAGCTCCTGGTTCCTGGCTTCAGATATGTGCAGCTCCAGCCATTGCAGCCATCTGGGGAGAGAACCAATGGATGGAAGACCTTTCTCTCTTTGCCTCTCCTCTCTCTGTTTAACTCTGACTTTCAAATAAATAAAATAAATCTTTAAAAAAATACACAAAACCAAAACCAACAGAATTAAGGGGGAGAAGTGTTCAAAACCACATTTATAGGTAGAGAATAGAAACGGTAAAAATAGTAAAAATCATGGAGGATTTAGACAATTCTATCAACCAATTTAACCTCATGGACATGCACAGGGTGAAATGAAAAGTCAACGGTTCTAAAATCATATATTAAGTAAAATCTAATACAGCAGCTCTTGACTGCTGGTCTAATTTCTTTCCTCCTCTACTCTTCCTAACACAGCTCTGTTTTCTGCCCCCCAAAAATCCACCTTCCCAGGCACAGGCATGCACTTTGGGGAAGGTTGGTAACCCTTGAGGGAATGTCCTAATCAACTTAAGCCAGTGATGATGGGCTTATTACTTTGGCCAGAGACTAATGAAGTCAGGGTATATGACAGTTATGGACAGCACAGCATAAGGGAAATCTCCTGGGGACGTCTAGGAAAGAGTTTCTCTTTCCTAAGAGAGACCCATAGAAGGGGACTGTCCCTTTATTTATTTTAAGATTTATTTATTTGAAAGGCAGAATGACAAAGAGAGACAGAAAGAATGAGATCTTTCATCCACTGGTTTATTCCCTAAATGGCTGCAACAGCTGGGTCTGGGCCAAAGCCAGGAGCCCAGAACCCCATCACGGTCTCCCACATGGGTGGCAGGGGCTCAAGTACTTGAGCCATCATCTGCAGCTTCCTAGGCACACTGGCAGGGAGCTGGATCAGAAGCGGAATACCTGGGGACTTGAACTGGCACTCCAATATGGGATGCAAGTATACCAAGTGGTGGTTTGACTGCTGTACCACAACACCCACCACTCCCGGACTGTCTTTTTTGGTTTTGGACATTTTCATAGCTGGATGTGATACCTAGAATGCATTCATACCTGAAAAAAATCTGATATTCCAAGGAAAGCAAAAACGAAAGGTAAAAAGAAACCTTGCTGGTTCCCATGAATTACTGCCTCATTTAACTGGATCTTCTTTTTCACTGTATATTATAACTACAATATTACCCTTTTCTCCAGATGACCAACTCAGAATGACTATTCTAATTAGCATTAATTTTAAGAACTTCCATATTACAAATATTAAAGATTTCTTTTTCCTTCCTATAGTATGAGTCAACCATGCACCATCTGCCCCTCCCTGTTGTTGGAACCATCCCTACACTTACAAACACGGAGTTATCCATCAAGTTGCTGCGACCACCTGACAGCCCAGGTACCGACACAGGAGCCACCACAAAAGTCCAACAGTCACAAAAACAACTACTGGGTCTGGATGCTTCTACTAACACTGTCCTTCTGTTCAACAAGCACCTTAATCTCTTAACATAATAATATCTAAATAAGTATCTCAAACAGAAACAAAACAATAGTTTCTGGATTATCTAAATTCAGTAATTTACTTCCCACATCCCTCATGCTCAATTAACCCTTATGGGAAACCTGAATTTTGTTTCTAGCTCCTGGCTTCAGTCCCAACAAAGCCCCAAATACTGCAGGTATTTGGGGAGTGAAGAAACAGACAGGAGCACACTCTTTCTAAGTCTCTTTCTGTGTCTGTCAAATAAACAAGAATTTCAAATTAAAAATAAAAAAACTTCTATTAAATTAAATCGATTAAAATTCTATTACAGTAACATATTTGGATAGCTCTTAAAAATTTGTTGCCACAAGATTTAACCTGCATTTTGTGAATGTTTACCGTGATGATAAGGTGTTATACGCCTTGGGGGGATAAGCTGCAACAAGCATATGAATACAAGCAAACTGAGTAACCCTATATTCCTGCCATTCTCAAACTGGGAGAGTGAGAGCAGTTACCTAAGATTTAACAGTAGGGACCTTCACACACAGAGAATTTTCTTCAAAATTCTCATAGACCAACTAGGGCAGGAGGAAACGGTGAATGACACTGACCTTGTGCTACAGTTGACATGACCACAGAGGGTGTGGAGGACACCACAGCTGTCACCGCAACGGTATTAGGTACAGGCGACGGTGTAGAGCTGCTGCTGCCATTGCTGCTACTGCTGACCAGAGAGGACTGAGAAGCAGTTATCACCACGGGCGGCTTCTGGGTGGTGGAGGCGATGACTGACGTTGGGACAAGCTTAGTGACTGCAGCATAGTTATGGGACTTGGAGAGGATGTTGGGGACGAAGGTTGAACTTGGTGATGTGGTCACTATAATCACCTAGGGAAGGGAAAAGAAGTCATTTTCATGTACCTACAATTCCACTATTGTAGTCAGACCCAAATTAGTTACATACAATTCAAAAACAGCGTATGAAACATGAAGAAACAATTCAACAAAATGAATACACAACTAAAGATATATGAAAGCTTTCCTTTAGTCCTGCTCATCAACATACATTTAAAAGCAACAACATTTACCAAGCAAATATTGTTTAGAACATCATTAAATGCTGTGTAAGATACAGCAAAGTAAACATTTCAACATACTATTGAGGGAGTATAAATTGGTGCAATCTTTCTAGAAAGTAATTTGGACATTCATTCATTTTTATTAATTGAGCATCTACTATGTGCCAGGCATGGTTCTAGATGCTCAGACAAAAAAAAATGAAGAAAGTAAAGTTCCTACTTTCAGAGTGTATATTCTACTAGGGAAAAACAATAAACAATTTTTTTTAAAAAGTCAATGTCATGTATTAAAACAGAAGAGATAATAAAGCAGAGTGAGTAAAGGACGATGGGAGCACTCTACAATTCCTCTTACAAAGTACTCAGTGAAGGCCTCTCTGTAAGGCGACATCTGAGCAGACAGACACCAGCAGTACCGTGTGAATCATGTCACCACCTAGGAGAGCATCCAGCAAGACAGGGAGTGGCAAACACAGAAACCCCGAGGCAGAAGCAAGTTTGACTTGCACAAGAAACTTCAAGAACCTAATGAACAGGATTGAAACGTATAAGGTTGAGAACAGTAGGAGACAACTGCAGAGAAATAATGACAGTTTACACCCTTGATATGATATGATAAAAATGCTACCTTCTGTGGTCTTCCTCCCAAAAACCCAGAACCCTAGTCTAACCATGAGAAAAACATCAAACAAATGCTAACAGTGGGGCATCCTACAAAATACTTGACCATGACTCCTTAAAACTGTCCAGGTCATCAAAAACCATGAAAGTCTGAGAAACTTTCAGAGTCAAGAAGAGTTTGTGCTGTGGCATAGCAGGTAAAGCCACCGCCTGCAGTGCTGGCAACCCATATGGGTGCCGGTTCGAGTCCTGGCTGCTCCACTTCTGATCCAGCTCTCTGCTATGCCTGGGAAGGCACTGGAAGATGGCCCAAGTCCTTGGGCCCCTGCACCCACATGGGAAGACCTGGAGGAAGCTCCTAGCTCCTAGCTTCGGATTGGCTCAGCTCCAGCCGTTGTGGCCACTTGGGGAGTGAACCAGTGGATGGAAACCCTCTCTCTCTGCCTCTCCTTCTCTCTGTGTGTAACTCTGACTTTCAAATAAATCAATAAATCTTAAAAAAAAAAAAAAAGAGTCTACAAGTAAATATAATGCCATATCCTAAATGAGATCCTAGAACAGAAAAAAATAAGTGAAAACCAAAGAAATATGAATAAACCATGGACAATAGGCAATATTAACACATTAATGTCATTCATTGATTGAAACCAATGTATGATGGTAATATGGAATGTTAAGAATGGGAAATTGTGTGTACAGGGTATACAATAAATCTGTACTATCTTCTCAACTTTTCTATAAATCTAAAACTGTTCTAAAAAACAAAGTATCTTTTAAAGAGCATTATACAACCTTCTTGGTAAAAAGTACAGTAGGATAGTGAAGTCAGGAACAAGGAGACTAATTAGGAAGCTCCTATAATAAACAGAGCAGAAATGATAGTAACCAAAATGTTTGCAATGGAAGTGATGAAAAGTGAGCAGATTCTGAATATATGATAAAACCAACAGGATTTGCTCATGAGCTGATAGAGAGAATGGAGAAAAAGAGATGTGATAAAGATAGGTCAAGGTTTAGCCAGTATGGCTAGAAAACTGTAGATGACTAAGACAAAGCATTTCAGACGGAGAGACTGTTTAGGGTAATGGACCTAAGATTAGAATTAGCCTGATGTATTTAAAAACAGAAAGAAAGCAAGTATGGCAGAAGCATACAGAGCAGGAAGGGGTTGGAAAAGTAAGAGGACCAGATCAAACTTGTAAGCCAGAGTAAAGAATTTAGAGTGTATGCTAAGCATGCTGGGAAGCCACTGGAAGACGCACGCACGGGATCAGACTCAGATTATTCTGAGATAGAAAAAATAAAAGTTGGTGGTTAAAAGAATGTCAGAGTTAAGCAAAAGGAACGGAATCAAAAATAGCTCCAAGAGCTAATATTATTGCTTACCATATCTCCCAACAATCCTATTACACAGATACTATTATCCCCATTTTACAGTGAGAACATAAAAATCATTAGTAATTCTGTAGTAGCACAGTTTTCTCCTGAGGTGAGTATAATGATGATACCTAAAAGAGTACAGTACCTTCTTCTTTCACTAAAATTATTTGTACCTACCTAGGACAGAAAAATTGTTTTGAAAAATCCAAAGAATTCAAAGGGGAAATTCTTTTTCAGTTTTGTGTCAGTCCTAAAAAAGAGCTCAAGTCTTTATTTGTCATAATTTACTGACTATATCTGAACTCAGTGCCTACACCTCAAAGACACTCTGACTGAAACATTTTATATGTTATATATAGATAAATATAAATATTTATTTCCAATGTTTTGGAAAATTACAAGATAAATGTTTTTGTGTATTACTTTATAGAGTTTGTTAACTACCTGAGGAGTCAAGAAAGATACCAAAGTCTGGACCAGCAAACACCTATGTAGAGTTGATTAGCATTCATCAGGCTTGACCAGTCAACTCCTTTCTAGCTTTATTAGAAAAACAACTAACCATCATACAGAGAAGGGACCAATATGGTAAAGGGACCATAAGCTTAAGAGTCTAACTAACCTACACTCAGAACCTTCACCTTCTACTTAAAGTGACAGCCCCAGGGGCATGTTAAAATCTCTAGGCTCGGCCAGCGCCATGGCTCAATAGGCTAATCATCCGCCTGCAGCACCAGCACCCCGGGTTCTAGCTCTGGTTGGGGCACCAGATTCTGTCCCGGTTGCCCCTCTTCCAGGCCAGTACAGGGAGTACAGTGGAGGATGGCCCAAGTGCTTGGGCCCTGCACCCCATGGGAGACCAGGAGAAGCACCTGGCTCCTGGCTTCGGATCAGCGTGATGCGCCGGCCACAGCAGCCATTGGAGGGTGAACCGACGGCAAAGGAAGACCTTTCTCTCTGTCTCTGTCTCTCTCACTGTCCACTCTGCCTGTCAAAACAAAACAAAACAAAACAAAAAAAACCTCTAGGCTCTTGTGTCTACTGTTGAGGAACAGTGTTTTATTTCTTCATCCTATATGTTGAACTCTACTTAGTACAGGGTTAATCTTATAACATCAACTGAAAATAGATCTTTGTAAAAATTAAAAAGTGGGAATAGGAGAGGGAGGAGGAAGAAGGGCAGGAATGTGGGCAGGAAGGAGAGTAGGGTGAGAAGTATCACTATGTTTCTAAATATGTATATATGAATTACATGAAAGGTGTACACCTTAAATAACATTTTTAAAAAATCTGGGCTCCAACTTTCATTTATAAAATGGGGATAATAATACCTACCTTGCAAAAGCATTATAAGGATTAAATTGAGATGATGTGAAGCATCTAATATAGTGCTAGGCACATAGAGACGGTCAGTATTTGCTGTCAACAAATGGAACATCTCAGCTGTTTACTATTATTACGACTTAATAAATGTTAAAGGGATATCAGTAAAAGCAATATAGACCACATCAATCTGGAAATGTATGCTATTTTCCTTTCATTAAAAACATTTTGGGTATCTTTCCCAAGACTCTGATACCCATGAGAATCCAAAGAACTCATAGCTACCACCACAACAAAACCGATTAGAATAGTAATAGCACTTAGGTCTCACTTCTGCCAATTCGGAACTAATACTAGTACCTTCCTGGCGTACAACGCAGCACAGACGAGGATTCCCCAGGCCTTGGCAGCCACGTATGCCACAGTTACTTAGCATCGTCCTGTCGTGGGCAAGGGCCGGGGAGTGCTCACACTCGCGACCAATATTCACAATTTCAGAACTGCAGTGTCTACCTAACAGTTTCTAACATTAAGACAATGAAACTGCAGCAAAATAAATCTCAAGTCTTTAAGAGCATGTTTTATGTTGCACATAGAAGTGATATGACATATTCTAGATTTCAGTCTGAAAGATGATTTCTGATCTGGAAGAAGGGGATCGTCTAAAATCAGAGAGTCACCTTGGAGGAAATCTCGCGGCACTTTATGGTTACTTATTACATAGGGCAAATGAAAGGGTTTTGAAACCAAGTGAACCAAACAGTGTTTATTCAGGCCATAATTCAAATTACTGACCTTCTAGCACTCACAAAAACTCTTTAAGAGTGCTGGGACTTGCACCCTAAGGACAAAATGAAAAATATCAATCAAGCACATGAAAGCATAAAGCTATATTCTGTTGCTTTGTTTCTGTAAGTGCTGTACCAATGTTATGTTTAAAATGAAGGCACCATAATAACAGAGGTGGACATTTGTATTCCCTAAAGATACATAACCTACTTCAATTTTTTAAGACCTATTTATTTATTTGAAAGGCAGAACAACAGGGGTAGCAGGGGACAGAGAGATCTTCCACTGCTGGTTTATTCTCCAGATGACTGCAACAGCCAGGCACTGGACCAGAGTGAAGAAGCCAGGAGCCAGGAACTACGACCAGGTCTCCAGAAGTGGAGAGGCCAGGACTCAACGGCACTCTGATATGTGATGCCAGCGACACAGGAAGCAGGTTAACCCACTGCACCACACCACTTGCCCCATAACCTACTCCAATTTGAATAAAGTCCACAACTTCATAAGTAATTATGCTTAATCTAACATTCACTCTGCCTACAATAATTCCTAAGTTGACTTAAATACAGATTTATGAGAAATTCAATGCAGTAATAATGACCACAGCCTTCTCAAAAAATCCAATTACAAAACAAAATAAAAACTAAAATATCCAAAGAATATTTATTAGTCCTACTCATAGTTAGCATGTCCATG